GTTTTATTTTTCCCATTTATAAAAAAAAATTAAAATTTTTGTTTTTTCCCCCCCCCCCCCCCCCCAAAAAAAAAAAAAAAAAAAAAATTAAGGTATTTTTTAAATGACCCCCTCTTTTTTTTTTTTTGTCAAAAGACGACTTAGGGGAAAAAAAGAAAAATAAAAAAAAAGAAAGAAAACCTTTTGGCACAAAATGACTTAGTCCAGTATTTTAGGAAGGTGACGATATTTAGGCTAACAGTTAGCTAATTTTACTTTTCAATTAAGCTTAAAAATGGCGACCTACCTGAGATAAATGTAACAAGCCCCTTCATTTTGGCATAAGTCAGCGGTTTCTCCTGAGTCAGAGTCATCTGGAGGAAGTTTTATTTAAAAAATAAAACTCCAAAGAGAACTGGTTCTGGTTCTGGTTCTGGTTTTAGATCGACCGTCCTCATCAACTAGGCCCTCGGGACTGAAACTTCAACCGCTCTGCTGCTCGATTTAAGACCTGACTCACTAGGCGATGCGTTCAAGTTCCCTCGGAAAACTTATAAATACGCCATGAGAGGCTCAACATGAGCGCCACTTATGACCAATATGTGGGGTATTCGTCTCAACAGCTGTGTCATAGGTATTACTGGTGTTGGTTAAATAACTTTTAGTTAGGATACAATTACTTGTTCTCACCAAGTATTTAAGTTTGAAAGGGAAGACCTTCATAGTTGTGTTTTACAACATATTCTTTGCAATTAAAGCATCCTGGCACTCGATTTCAGCACCCATGACTGAAAAGGCTCCAAAGCAGATCCCTGACAGCATGGTGGCTCATGTAAGCTGTCAAAACCAGGTGAGAAAGTAGCCTGACCCTATGCCATACTTGGCGATAGGAACTGCCTTTTAGCATTTGGGTTAACAGGCAGCGAGTCTCTTAGGTCGCTGTCAAGGAATTTAGTCCCACTCTTTTTTGCAGAAGTGTTTAAACAAAGTAATGTCTTCAGCCACATTTTTGAGAATGAACAGCCAGTTTAAGGTCAGAGTATCTCATTTCGATTTTAATCCAGACTCCAGAACTGTCCCTTTTTTGAGCCCTACAGAGGACGTGCTGATGTGCTTTATGTCGTTCTCACCCAATATTTTCTGGAAGAGAAATTCAGGTTTTCATCAGTTACAGCGAGTCGCCCAGCTCCTGAGGAAGCAGAGTAGACCGAGGCCATCACACAACCGCCGCCATATTTGGCTGCAGGCAAGGGTGTAGGAACGAGTCTGTCATTGGGGGGGACGCATATCGGAAACCTGACAG